GAGATAACAGGAACTACAGGTTCCAATGTCTTATCAACAAACATTGACTTAACTATTGATATAAAAAAAACAATCCAAATTAAAACACATGGACCTAAACTGAGAATTCAATATAGTAACTGAGAAAGAAAATAAATATGCTGAAGCTCCTTACCAATTAGTGAAATACAAATCAACTTCTGTGTTATTTTATATTTCCCAAGAATATAAATTACAAAAAATGCTGGAATATATGTGAGTTAAGACGGTTGCAAACTGATAAGCCCTATAAAAATTAGTGTAGAGGATTTCTAAAAGTGTGGAAAGATATCTGCACTATTCTCTATGTCTATCAGTCCTGGGCATATATGTAAAGGACTGCGTATCCTACTGTAGTAATTCTTGAACATCTATGCTCATTGTTGCTCTATTCACAATAGCCTTGAAATAGAAGCATCCTCAATGCCAATCAACTGATGAATGGATATTGTAACTGTGATACATGTAAACAACTTAATTTTATTTGGCTGCAAATACAAATAGAATTATGGAATCTGCATGTAATGGATGGAGCTGGAATTACCATTCTGAATGAGGTAACCCAGACACAATAAGACAAAGTCAAATGCTTTCTCTTATATGCAGATGCTAGTTTTGAATCTTCCGGTGTCTCTACTTGACTGGAGTACACATATTAGCCAGGAAACTACTAAGGTGCAAAGGAGAGGGGATTTCACTAGCAGGAAAATAGAACACATGTGGTATGAAGAAGGGAAGGGAAATACTGGAGCAGGAAGGGTTAAGTAGCAAGTGATGGGGAGCAGACCAGAGAAAGTGTGTGAAGGAATAACTAACTCTAAGACCTTGGAGAAAGCTCATGGAAATGTACTAATATAGAAACTTCCTAAATACATACACATACATATAAAGCATTTAAATGGGGTTATTCTATAGCTGGGGAAGAATGCCTCTCACAGCGATCATGAACCATTAAGCAAAAAGACAAGTGCTAGGTATAAGTTAACTGTCTTACGTTGGTTGCAAATGTTTGTCCCTATACACCCAAACATGACCAGCTTTTCCTTTGCTCTTGGTTACCCTCCAGAATCTGATGGCAGGACCTGTTTAGTGGGAACATCACATACTTGAGTCACAGGACATGGAGTAATTAAGCTGTGGCTGACATGGAAATTTCATTTGTACCCGTAGCATCCACAGTAATGAAAAGTTTTATACACATTAATAAAAATGTAATAAACTGTCTAACACACCAGCAATCCCCAAAACCTACAATTATGACTGGCAGGAAAACATATGCCTACTGACAACATATCATACACTGGCATTAATATTATGGAAGTAACCCACAACATTCTTCTCAGATTTAAGTCCAGCTCCACCAGGCAGATATCATACCCCATTGGCCTAAGAAACTGTGGTTAGTTGTGTCATTGGTCCTAAATGAGAGCCTAATAATATTATTATGCTAAATAGACAAATATTTTACCTACCTACTCAGTTCTTACCTTTAAATGGGAATCTCACTGCATACTTCCCTCAAAACTTCTCAGAGAGGCTTCATTTTCCAATAAATGGTGTTCAGTACATAAACCTATAAGTTTTATGTATAAAAAAGCTATGTATATATGTAAACCAACCAGATAATGAGAGATTGTGGAGCACCCAGCTCTACATGGGACACGTTTATCATGTACTCTTTCCCCTCAAAACTCAGAAGAGAGGGTAGAACTTTCTAAGAGTCAGAGGTAGTGCATAATTGGGTTGAAATTGTTTGTTCATTAAATGACATGGCCATGGCACACATGGACTGACTGCACAGGACCATCAAGAAATGAATAAAATCCCCGCATTAATGGGAGAGAGGATCATGAATACTTCTTTAAAAAAAAAAGACTTATTTATTTATTATGTATACAGTGTTCTGTCTGTCTGTCTGTATGCTTGCTGGCCAGAAGAGAGCACCAGATCTCATTACAGATGGCTGTGAGCTACCACATGGTTGCTGGGAATTGAACTCAGGACCTCTGGAAGAAAAGTCAGTGCTCTTAACCTCTGAGCCATCTCTCCAGCCCCAATCATGAATACTTCTCCTACCTAAGGAGCCACTGACAGTTCGTAGCTGCTCAGAGTAAGAAAATCGGTTTTCTTCAGGATGTGAACACTGAGAGGATTCCCATTCTCCAGCAGAAGGCCTCACTCCCATGTATGTGCTGGTTATGCAGAGCGCCCTCTATGGGGATTTACAGAGAATGCACTTGAATTTAGGTGGAAAAAGTGTCAGGAAGGATAAGGGAAGAAGTGGTGATGGAGGTGGTGTGGATTTGATGAAAATACATTCTATGCATGTAAGATATTCTCAAATAATGAATACATACATACATACTCTTATAAATGTAGTGGAGAAAATTTGAATCAAGTTTAAAAAAAAAGAAGTCGAGGGTTAGCAGAAAGGTATCTCCCTATCCTCAGTATTTGCAGACTTCCAGCTAGACACATAGAGAGAGTTCAGTTGACAGTGTGAACTCTTCTATTTCCTCTGGCTTATGTTGTTCCTGTGTCCTTATTGAATGACAATCTGATATCCACCAACCTGTGTTGATAGGACCCATTTTCCTTCTTTGAACATCAGAGATCTGTAGCCACATTGAGCTTTGAATTCTAAGGGCTGGCTAGATTCTCTCACTCTTCTGGAATACTCCAGACCATACTGCTCTTGTTGCTGTATAATCAGAGGGTGGCTCCTCATTGACATAAAACTGGAAAACCACTCTATCATGAGAACAGTACACGCGTTGACACTTGAAAACCTGTTGGTTGTTAATCAGCAGGCAGGAGGATGCTGTGTGGATCTCAGACACACCACAGTAACTCTCAGCCTTCACTACAATGATCAACAGATTCACAAATCTACATTTTTACCAGTCCTGTGGGCTAAGGTTCAGAGGTTCCATTCAAACTCCAGCATAATTCTCTAATAAGAAGCTTGGGTTGTGTTTGCCCATGGCTGGACTCTCTTATGTCCTTCCTAGACTAGATTACCTGCTGCCTGATCCTCTAGTGCATAGTTTTCCTGCACTGTTGTTCTCTAAAAATCCAGGATCTGTTCTTAATTTGTGGTAGACTAAATGCAGTATCCATAACCGGTGGGGTTTCCTTGATGTCAATTGCTATATTGCTAAATCTTTAAAAATTTTTGTATATTGAAATTTTTATATAATTACTTTCTCTTTTTTACTAAAAAATTGCAGAAAATATATTTTGATCATTTTTTCCTCTCCAACACCTACACTTTAAATATAATTCTCTTATTTCCTCCTCTTTGCCTACCTCCAACTCTATCTTGTCTCCCAGGGCCACTTCCTCTCAAATTCATTTTTTATAATTATTGTTATTTAGAAAAATTCACACATATAAATAAATAAGTTTATATATATATATATATATATATATATATATATATATCCAACTGAATCAATTGTTTGGTGCATAGTATTATTTTGTGTCATTGGAAAAACCTCAGCCCTGAACTCAAATGGAAAAAGAAAGATTTATTCTAGAATCAAATTAATGTGATCCTGGCTAGTGAACCCAGATTTAGGTGACCCAAGATCCATGTTCCCTTGAGCAGACAATTTCATGAAGATTTCATAGTAAAATATAAAGCAAGTTGTAAATCAAGTAAATTAGTGAATACATCAGCCAGGAGGACACAGGCAAGTTAGGAAAAATTATCCTACAAGCCCAAGATGACATCTGATGTCATTCTTAGCTTTTAGGTTGTTGGAAGCCAGTGCTCTGCTAAGTTACTAGATTTCAAAGGAATTTTACTCATTAGTTATAGGGAATTAACTCACCTCAAGAGTTGACATAAATGACTGTCCATGGTGATGCAGTTAGCCTATAGTAAACTTCTAGATCTACAAAATTCCAACACCTCCACATCACTGAAGCTGATATCATCCCGTCTCTATAGATGCAGCTCTTTCCAGGAGTTCTCTTGCATGCATTTATACACATGCATACAGTTATACACATGTTAATTATATGCACACATTTCTACTGCTAAACACTCAGTATATAATAATCCCCAGAACAGACTGATTTCTCCTTCTCTCAATAGTGACTATTAATCAGTTATGAACAACAGATTCTTTCTTAACATACCATCTAGCTATAGAACTCAAAGTCACATAGTATAAACAAATGTCATATTTTTTTCTTCTGCCAACAGGTAGAATCTCTCCTTCAAGAGAACTCAGTCGATTCACGATTTCTCTTACTTGCCGCCAGTAGGGCTAACCAGGCTCTCATCTAACCCAGGTTTTGAAAGTACCTCCTAAGAACCCCTCTCCAATCACTGAATGCCGTCGGGGAGAGAGATAATTTAGCCCATCTTCCTGCTTCCAAAGTTTCCTTTTTTCTAGTTTTCAGCTTTCTTTTACTGCCCTCATGAATTTGGGAGCTTTTCTTCTTTTTCATATTCTATTTTTCCTTATTATTTTACTTACTTTGATTCTTTCACTGGCAGGAGACTCTACTCACTCATTTAATCTGCAAGTTTGGAGAATAATTTTTTCTTTGTTTACTAGTTTCTGAAATTTCATAAAGATTTCTATTTTATTTTATGTGTGCAATTGTTTTGTCTACATGTATGTTTGTTCCACATGTGTGCCTGGTGCCTGCAGAGGCCAGAGGAGAACATGGATCCCCAGAAAACAGGTGTTGGCATTTATTGTAACCCAAAGACTGGCTGCTGTAACCTGAATCAGAATAATACACAAGAGTAGCAAGTAATTCCAAAAACAAATTATTGAAATATAATGAAATATCAAAAACTTCATTAGCCATGCCATGATGTTCCTGAGCTGTCAGCAGTTTATTCATACAAATTTTGAATGTCAGAAGAGAAACCAGGATTTAAAGTCCTCTTCCTGAATTTGCTAAGGAGTTTCTGAGACTAATGGCCTGAATGTGCTCATCATTCTGCCCCACCTCTTTAGAGAAAGATGGAAGAACTATCAGTATTTGCTGACCTTATACTTTGCCATTGAGGAGATCAATAAAGATGCCCACCTGCTTCCCAATGTGACCTTGGGTTTCCACCTCTACAACGCTTTTGACTATCACTACAGAACCTTAGAAGGACCTCTGATGTGGCTGTCTGGAAGGAGTGAGTTTATCCCTAACTACAAATGCAAAACTCAACACAAAGTTCTTGCAATCATTGCAGGAGTCAGGCCTGAATTTTCTGCTGCAATTGGAACACTTTTAGAACTCTACAAAGTTCCACAAGTAAGTTAATAATGTTCTGGTGACTATACTCACATAGGATACTAGACCAAAATAAAATGGAGAAGTTGCATATATTTACCTCCAGTGATTTAAAATAAAAGTAAATGAATTACCTGGATTCTGCTATGATCAACAGTGGAAAGAGTATGGTGAAAAACGTGAGCATCAAATATTTAGATTTCCAAACAGATGACTTACTAGTATTTATGATTCTATCTCCAAATATTGGCAAGATGTACTATGATAGATTATAGCTAAGAGGTGCTCACAAATCAGAGTCTATAGCACAGATAACTTAATTGCCCAAGCTGGGTCATAAACATCTCATAGTTTCTCCAGGAGTTAATTAATGACAGTTAGAGGAACAAAAAGTTCAGGAAATTTAAATAAATTATGACAATCCTCAAGGACATCACTAATGAAAATGTTACAAAAAATTTATTTTCTCATTCAGGAAAGTAGATTTCTGAATAGCACTTGCAGAGAAAAACTGCTTAGATAAATCCCCACAAATGGCTCTTACCAGGCACTATTGAAGCAAAGCAGCCATCATAAGGTATCACTACAAACAGAAAAACCTTAGATGTGGACCATGCTCAAAAATGATCAAGATTAGAACATCAGACCGTGCAATAATGATTATTATCACCCACTTAAAAATTGATAAATGTATTGGATCCTGACGTAAGAAAAATTATATACATGATAATAGTCATTATTATCAGATACTCACATTTTATATTCGTTGCTCAGTGATGACTCATCAAATCTATCATTAGGGAAGGAGAAGGCAACAAAACTTGCTGATGTTCCCCTAGATCTTCATGCCTCTCTCTTTTTTAAATGCAGGAGCTAAATCTATGAACAAATTTGTTATTTACTTTTTTAAAACTAGAGGTTCTAGTAAAGGTATTGATATGTACTCAGACTACAGCACTTGATAATGCTTCTGCAGTCTTTCTCTACAACAGATGCTCTGTCCTATTGTTATTAGAACAATAGAAATCTATTGTACCTTTCAAATCTGTCATGAAAAGAATATTGATCACTTTTTAGGTTCTTCAGAACTCTTAGTAACTTTGGAGCCCATAATACTTAAAAGTGACCATATTCCATCACATGATGAGAGAAAGGCTAATCTCACAGAAAACACTCTCTTCACCAATCTTCAGTTCCCTGATCTTCTGTGAATAATAAACTCACTTCCTCTCTAAGGGTGATGACTCCAAATACTCAAAAACTGTGAAACTTTTTTTTTGTTTGCTTCATCAGGTCTCATATGGAATTTTTGATTCTACACTAACTGGCAAAGATACATTCCCATCCCTTTACCAGATGTCTCCAAAAGACACAGCTCTAATCCAAGGAGTGATCTCTTTATTGCTGTTCTTTGGCTGGAAGTGGGTGGGGCTCTTTGTGGCTGATGATCTAAAAGGTAAGGAGTTCATCTCTAGCCTGAAAGCAGAGATGGCATCAGAAGATATCTGTGCAGCTTTTACAGTTAAACTCTCAGCTAACTGGAAGATTCATATAGTGTCTGAGGTTGAGTTGCCAAAGTTAAATCAAGATACACAAGTAAATGTGTATATACTCTATGGTGATATAGATGATATATTGTTTTTCTGCTTCATACATGAAATCATATCAAACAGAAGGAAGATGTGGATCATGACAAAACCACAATTATTTTACTTAGATTCTGAATTATATGAGTTGAATGATTTTTTGGACATTTTTGGAGGAAGCTTCTCATTTTCAAAACATAAAAATATTCCTGGCTTCAAGCACTTTATAAAAGCACTAATGCCCTCCCAGTACCCAGAAGATCTTTACTTCCATAAATTCTGGATTGACACTTTTTACTGCTCACCTCCTCCTTTACATTGTGGAAAATATATACCCTGCCCACCAAATATATCCCTAGGGATTAAACAAGAAGAAAAGGTTGTGATGATCACTTCTGAACCCAAGGTTTCCATATGGAATGCAGTGTATGCAGTTGCCCATGCTCTCCATAAAATGCTTTTGAGTAAAACAGAAATAGCACCTCACAAAGCGGCAAACAAGGACAGTCTTCTACCTTGGCAGGTAAGCCAACTCATAACTAAGGGAAGCACTGGGCACTTACATTATTAGTAAGTAATTCACGGTATTCAAACACATAACACATTTTCACCTTACTATTAAAAGAGTAAGGAGGTTGAGCATGAAAGTGTAAAGGGGTTCTTTCACAGTGGGTGTGTATGTGTCTGTAATATGGTGCATGCTTTGGGAAATGGTTGCTTTGCTTTCAAGACATTAATTCTGTACATATTTCAGCAAATGGTTTCCTAGTATGATCTGAAATTCTGTAAGATATCCAAAAGCAATTACTGTCAAAATTCAGTCTGCCAGTATTTTATTGAACATTTTGCATCAATGTTCTTGAGGGATATTGGTCTGTAATTCCTTTTTTTTAGTTGAATCTCCATGTGGTTTGTGTACCAGGGTCACTGTGGTCTCATAAAAAGAATTTGACAATGTTCCTTTCATTTCTATTATGTGGAATAATTTGGGGACTATAGGTATTAGCTCTTCTTTGAAGTTGTGGAAGAATTCTGTGCTGAAGAAGTTGTTTTGGTTGGGAGAATTTGATAACTGTTTCTATTTCCTTACAGGTAATAAGTCTACTTAAATTGTTCAGCTTGTCTTGATTTAATTTTGATAAATGATATTTATCCAGAGAATTGTCCATTTTTTTACATTTTCCAATTTTGTAGAGTACAGATTTTCAAAGTATGACCTAATGATTGTCTGGATTTCCTTAATGTTTTTTGTTTTGTCACCCTTTTCATTTCTGATTTTGAAATTTGGATGTTCTCTTTCTGTCTTTTGATTCGTTTGGGTAAGGGTTTGTCTATCATGTTGATATTCTTAAAGGGTCAGCCCTTTGTTCACTGATTTTTTGTATTGTTTTCTTTGTTTCTATTTTAATAATTTCAGCACTCAATTTGATTATTTCCTGTAATCTACTCCTCCTTGATGAGTCTGTTTCTTTTTGTTCTGTAGTTTTCATGTGTGCTGTTAAGTTGCTAGTGTGAGATTTCTCCACTTTCTTTATGTGGGCACTCAGAGCTATAAACTTTCCTCTTAACATTGCTTTAATAGTGCCCCATAGGTTTGGGTATGCCATATGCTCATTTTCATTGAATTTTAGGAAGTCTTTAATTTCTTATTTGTTTTTTGACCCATGGGTGATCAAATTGAGTATTGTTCAACTTCCATGAGTTTGTCTTCTTTCTACAATTAGTGTTGTTGAATTCTAACTTTAAGTTATGGTGATCCAATAAGATACAGGGGGTTATTCCAAATTTTTGTATCTGTCAAGGTTTGTTTTGTTACTGTGTATATGGTCAGTTTTAGAGAAGGTTCTATGAGGTGCTGAAAAGAAGATATATTCTTATGTGTTTGGGTGAAATGTACAGTAGATGGCTGTTAAGTTCATTTGAGTCATGACATCTGTTAGTTCTCCTATTTTTTCTTAAGTTTCTGTGTGATTTACCTGTCCACTGATGAGTAGAGGGTTGAAGTCTGTTATTATTGTATGGGGTTTGATGTGTGAATTAATCTTTATGTTACTTGGCTTTTTTCCTTTACAGCTCTTAATATTCTTTCTTTATTCTTATATTTAAGTGTTTTTATTATTATATTGTAAAGGGACATTTTTGTCCAGTCTATTTGGTGTTCTGTAAGCTTTCTGTACCTTCATAGGCATTTCATTCTTTATGTTGTGAAAGGTTTCTTCCAAGATTCTGTTGAATATATTTTCTGTGCTTTTGAGCTGAAATTCCTCTCCTTCTTCTACCCTAATGTTCTTAGATTTGATCTTTTCATGGTGTCCTAGATTTCTAGGATGTTTTGGGTTAGGAATTTGTTAGATTTAACATTGTCTTTAACCAATGAGTCTATTCCCTCTATTGTATCTTCAACTTCTGACATTTTCTCTTCCATCTCTTGTATTCTGTTGGTTATGTTTGCATCTGTAGTTCCTGTTTCCTTATGCAGACTTTCCATTTCCAGAATTCCCTCGGTTTGTGTTTCTTTATTGACTCTTTTTTAGTTTTTAAGTCTTGAACTGTTTGCTTCACTTGTTTGGTTTTTCTTCCTTTTCTTGGGTTTCCTTAAGAAATTTATTGATTTCTTCCAATTTTTGTTTGTCTTTTCCTCCGTTTCTTTAATAAAATTTTCATTTCCTCTTTAAGTGTCTCCATAATCTTCATAAAATTATATTTAAGGTTGTTTTCTTCTACATCTTCTGTGTTAGGTTGTTCAAGTCTTCCTGTTTTATGACCACTGGGTTCTGGTGTTACCATGTTGCTTTTAGGTTGTTAAAAGTATTTTTGCATTGGCAACTACCCATCCCTTCCTCAAAATGGTGTCAGCAGTGTCTTTGCCTCTTTCTGCAATCCTTGCAGTTGGTATATGTGTCTCAGGGATCCTCTCTTAGACCAACCGCTGCTGTTGCTGTGTGTGTCCTAGGAAGCTGCTCTTTGCCTGCTCTGTGCAGTCACTTTCTGTGAATCATGGAACCACTGAGGTCTCTTGGCATGGGGGCAATAGGAGTGGAGTGGGACTTGTAGCTTACAGGGTCTGATTGACAGAAGTTGGAGCAGCCTGTCTACAGGATATTTGCCTAGATGATGGAGAAGGGTCATCTTTCTATCTGTTGTTTCATTGGTTAAGTAATAAAGAAACTGCTTGGCCTCTGATAGGGTAGAATTTAGATAGGCGGAGTAAACAGAACAGAATGCTGGGAGAAAGAAGCTGAGTCAGTGAGTCGCCATGATTCTCCCACTCCAGACAGCCGCAGGTTAAGATCTTCCCTGGTAAGCCACCTCGTGGGCTACACAGATTATTAGAAATGGGTTAGGTCAATATGTAAGAGCTAGCCAATAAGAGGCTGGAACTAATGTGCCAAGCAGTGTTTAAAAGAATACAGTTCCCATGTAATTATTTCAGGGCATAAGCTAGCCATGTGGGTGGCCAGGTGCCAGGACACAGCCCCGCCGCTCCTATTACAACACCTAGAGACAGGTAAGTTTAGTGGAGGCAGGTAGAGGAGGAGCCTGGAATTTTGCCCCAGGCCTAGGGTCTACAGACTGGGACATCCAGCTGGGGATCTGGTCACTTACAACTCAGTCTGCTCTGTGTAGTTGCAGGCTGAGCCTTACAGAGCTGATAAGGTCACTTGGGATGGGTGGGTTTAGGATCAGATTGGAACTTGCAGCTTACTGGGTATGATCAATGGAGTGGGTGGAGCAGTTTACCTGCAGGAGACTTGCCTGCTGGCCAGCTAGGAAGCTCCAGTTTATTTATTCCTAAATGAGGTTAAAAAAAAAAGATGAAACTCAAGACTGTACATCCATTATTAAAGGTTAGAACACAAATGGTGCTCACACATAGACTGAATCTCCATCTATTAGTGGTAAGTGGATATGTTTGGGTTTTAAACCAATTCAATAAACCAGTTTCATAAAGTTGGACTCACTTATACTTTTGAGCATTCACCTTCAAATAGGTTATCATCAAGAAGGTTGTTGACCAAGTCAAGTAAACTTTTCATTCAGTAAAAGATAGATAAGTAAAAAATTAACTCTGAATGTTTTCTCTATTATGTAATTTTTACTATTATGGATAACAATAATATTTGACATAGACTTTGACACAGCTGTGAACATGGCTTCAACAAATGTGCTATTAGTTATGTTAGTATGTCTCTTGTACATATAATTTTTTATAACTTTATATATTACAAGTTGTTAATAAGTTAACAGAGCAGTGAATCTCAGAATTGAAGTATTAACCCATTGTATTAATTTAAATATGTAATTAAATGATTCTAGAGGGATAGATCAGCAGTTAGGAGCACTTGATCCTCTTGCACAGGACCCAAGTTTGGTTGCTAATACCCACCTAGTACCTTACAACTATGTGTAAGTTCCATTCTAAAGAATGTGACACACACTTATGTCCCCTGTAGGTATCATACATGTAGTTTGTATATATGCATATGTATAGACAGTACACAGAAATGAGAAGAACACATATCTAGGGGCCAGAGATGGCTCCATGTTAGCCATACTTGCTGCTCTTTAGAAGCCCCAGGTTCAGTTCCAAGTATCCACAAAGCAGCTTAGTGCTGTCTGTAACTCTGCTTATGGGGAATCCAGCACAATCTTCTAGCCTTCAACAAGCAACTTATACACAAAATTAAAATAAATTATTCCAAAAATAAATATTTTCAAATGCGTGTACTGGCTTTTTGGGAGCCTAGTGTGTTTGGATGCATATACCTTTCTAGACCTAGATGGAGGGGGGGGGGCCTTGGACTTCCCACAGGGCAGGGCACCCTGACTTCTTTTAGGACTGGAGAGGGAGGGGAGAATGTGAGGGGGGAGAGTGGGAGGGAAATAAGAGGAGGGGAGGAGGTGGAAATTTTTAATAAATAAATAATTTTTTTGAAAAAATTTCTGCCTCCTCCCCACCTCACATTTTCCTCTCCCTCCTAAGACTCCCCTCCCCCTCCCTCTCCAGTCCAAAAAGCAGTCGGGGTTCCCTGCCCTGTGGGAAGTCCAAAGTCCATCCCCCTCCATCCAGGTCTAGGAAGGTGAGCATCAAAACAGGCTAGGCTCCCACAAAGCCAGTACATGCAGTAGGATCAAAACCCAGTGCCATTGTCCTTGGCTTCTCAGCAGCTCTCATTGTCCACCATGTTCAGAGAGTCCGGTTTTATCCCATGCTTATTCAGTCCCAATCCAGCTGGCCTGGGTGAGCTCCCAATAGATGAGCCATTGCCCCTAATAAATAATTTTTTATTTTTTTTAATTTATTTATTTATTAAAGATTTCTGTCTCTTCCCAGCCACCGCCTCCCATTTCTCTCCCCCTCCCCTAATTAAGCCCCCCCCTCAGCCCGAAAAGCAATCAGGGTTCCCTGTCCTGTGGGAAGTCCAAGGAACCCCCCACCTCCATCCAGGTCTAGTAAGTTGAGCATCCAAACTGCCTAGGCTCCCACAAAGCCAGTACGTGCAGTAGGATCAGAAACCCAGTGCCATTGTTCTTGAGTTCTCAGTAGTCCTCATTGTCCGTTATGTTCAGAGAGTCCGGTTTTATCCCAGGCTTTTCCAGACCCAGGCCAGCTGGTCTTGGTGAGTTCCCAGTAGAACATCCCCATTGTCTCAGTGTGTGGGTGCACCCCTCATGGTCCTGAGTTCCTTGCTTGTGCTCTCTCTCCTTCTGCTCCTGATTTGGACCTTGAGAATTCAGTCCTGTGCTCCAATGTGGGTCTCTGTCTCTGTCTCCTTTCATCGCTTGCTGAAGGTTAATATTCAGGAGGATGCCTATATGTTTTTCTTTGGGTTCTCCTTATTTAGCTTCTCTAGGATCACTAATTATAGGCTCAATGTCCTTGGTTTATGGCTAGAAACCAAATATGAGTGAGTACATCCCATGTTCCTCTTTTTGTGTCTGGCTTACCTCACTCAGGATAGTGTTTTCTATTTCCATCCATTTGTATGCAAAATTCAAGAAGTCCTTGTTTCTTACTGCTGAATAATACTCTAATATGTATATATTCCATACTTTCTTCATCCATTCTTCCATTGAAGGGCATCTAGGTTGTTTCCAGGTTCTGGCTATGACAAACAATGCTGCTATGAACATAGTAGAGCATATACTTTTGTTGTATGATAAGGCCTCTCTTGGGTATATTCCCAAGAGTGGTATTGCTGGGTCCAGGGGTAAGTTGATCCCAAATTTCCTGAGAAACCGCCACACTGCTTTCCAAAGTGGTTGCACAAGTTTGCATTCCCACCAGCAATGGATGAGTGTACCCCTTTCTCCACAACCTCTCCAACAAAGGCTATCATTGGTGTTTTTGATTTTCGCCATTCTGACAGGTGTAAGATGGTATCTTAAAGTTGTCTTGATTTGCATTTCCCTGATTGCTAAGGAAGTTGAGCATGACCTTAAGTGTCTTTTGGCCATTTGAAGTTCTTCTGTTGAGAATTCTCTGTTCAGCTCAATGCCCCATTTTATAATTGGGTTGGTTAGCCTTTTACCAAAAAATTAGTTAAAGCGCTGATGTAACATGAGGGCTGGCTTGTTGGGGTTTCTGTTCCACCCAGTACCCCACAGCTGGCAAGTTCCAAAGAAAATCACACAGAGAGTCTACATTAGGTTATAACAGATTGGCCCATTAGCTCAGGCTACTTTTTAGCTCTTGTAGCTTATATACCCCTTATTCTTATCTATGTTAGCCACATGGCTCAGTACCTTTCAGCTGAGTAGGTTACATCTTGTTTCTCAGTGGTCTGGGCTGGAATCGGGGGAATGGACTTCCTCCTTCACAGAATTCTGTTTTCATCACCCCACCTCTACTTCCTATCTGGTTGACCCACCTATACTTCCTGCCTGGCCAATCAGCGGAGGTACTGGCTGTAGCCATTTTTATTGCCACAACTCTATGGCGTTTTGGGGTCCCTGCCAGCAAGCAAGCTGCAGCATTCTGCTCACAGACCACATTCAAATGCTCTGTAGTCAGATCACCTGCCTGAAAGAGTCCGAGGTTGCTCTGGCAGGACGGCCCAGAAAACCAGCATTTTAAAATGGTGCAGCTATTTTCCTGCTATGGTTGAAACCCAAAAAGCATGTGGTCAACTTTTCATCAACACCATTCAAGTGTTTTGTGGCAGGACCTTTAAAAAGAGCTGCAATGTTCTGCAGCTAAAGCTGAGTCAGGAAGCTTCTCTTAAATGAGAGTGCTTGCTTGCCTCTAGCAAGCAGAGCAGACCCAAGAAATTGCTGCTACCAAGAAAACATGTTTTACTCTATTCTTTCCCAAGCTTTCTCAGGCTTTCTGTGGATGAAGTTATTCACTAGCTCAGTTGAACAAGTCAGCCCCCATGTTACACACTGAATATTTGGATTTTAATTTGCATCCAATAATGTTCATATCAAATTTAAAAGGCAAATTATGTGATTCAAAGTAAATCAATGAAGAATGGAGGCAGTTAGTAGGTCTCTTTACAGTTTCCTGAAGCATAAATGACAAACAAAATTTCTGAATATTTAATATATATTTTTATGAATTAGGAGCTTTTGAATGAATTCCTGCTGATATTATAAGGTCAAGATACTCTGTATATCTGCATGTATTCCTATCTACTTAACTATCTATTCACACATATGTTCACTGTGTTCTATAAAAAGATAAATATCTTAACACCTGTACACCCAAATATATAGTGTTGCTTACATTTTTACTTCAGTTTGTTCTAAAACATGTATATTGTTTAATTGGAGACACAGGGCCTTGGTTCTACTAAGAACATGCTTCCAACTATGCTATGTTTCACCCCTTAGATGCCATTTCTTTTTACGTTCAGCTACTCTTACTTTAGTTTCATGAGGAGCAAAGTTCATCTCCCTGGAACAACTTGGGAGGCAATGATTCAAATGAAGCCTTTTCAAAAAGAAAACTAGAATAGAGAGAGAATTAGAATTGTTCTTAGGAATGATCAGTGAGAAACTTTTATGTACCACTCATATCCAAGTGATGTCTCTCTCCAGCTTCATCCATTCCTGAGGAAAATTCAATTTACAAGCACTGATGGAGACCAAATATGTTTTGATGAGAAAAAGAATCATGTGGAAAAATATGACATACAAAATTTTATGGTACATACTAATCATACATTTCTAGTTAAAGTAGGAGAGTTTGTCTCCAAGAGTCCACAAGATCAAGGCTTGTTCATCAATGAAGTTATGATCAAATGGCCAAGAAACTTCAATCAGGTCTGGCAAAATTTCAACCGTTAATATGCTGAAAAACATCTACAAAGAGTTCTGTGAATTGTATGATGTCTCTTTGAAATTTTCAAATATTCTTTTTTATAATTTATATTATTTTTTACAAAAGAAAACAAACTATCTTTTTTCATATTACATACCAATCCCAGTTCCCACTTCCTCTCCTCCTCCCATTTCTTCACCTATCCTTACACCCCACCCCCATGCACTCCTCAGAGAAAGTAAAACTCTTTTATTTTTGGTAAGGTCCAAGGCCTTCCCTACTATACCTAGACTGAGCAAGATATCCAGCCAAAGAGAATAGGTTCCCAAGAAGCCAATACAAACAGTAGGAATAAATCATAGTGCCACTTCCAATGGCCCTGCAGTCTGACCCAGCCATATAACTATCATTGTTGTATGGAGGAGAGAGGAAAAGGGACAGTGGAAGAAGAAAAGGAAAAGAGAAGCAGGGGGAAAACTTAAGGGAACAGGATAGATGAGATGGAGGAAGGATAAAGATGAGAGCATGTAAAGAGATTCTAGATTATTCCTATGCTGGTTCCCTCCCTGTCTGGCTGGAGTTGGTGACCTCCAATTAGCTCAGGTAAGCTTTTTCTGTGAGTGTCACCATCATGATCTTGACATCTTTTCTTATATTCTCACTCCTCCCACTCTTCAACTGAACTTTGGGAGCTCAGGCCAGTGCTCTACTGTGGGTCTCTGCCTCTGTTTTCATCAGTTGCCAGATGAAGGTTCTATGGTGATATTTAAGGTATTCATCAATCAGGGAAATGCAAATCAAAACAACTTTGAGAAATCATCTTACACCTGTCAGAATGGCTAAAATCAAAAACACCAATGATAGTATGCACTCTTAATGGCTGGGCCAGTTCTCCAGCCCCAAATACTTGTTAATATGTAGATATTTATGAGCTAGAAACTGAGTCCAATTTATGACAAGAAGCATGTCTAAAGGAAAGATAGAATTATTTCCTTGCATACAAAATTTCCAGAAATATTCACAAATTGATGTTTTGTTAATAGTATAGTGGTTAATGTAATTAACTTAGAAGTAAATTGATTTAACCAAAACTAAATGATTATGTCACTAATGTTGGGGACAAACATTAGTGGGGAGTCAAGGATGAAACTCACAGTAATGGATCATAATGCATTATCTCTGGAACATCAACATGTGATGAAGTCAGGAGAAGCTATGATCACCCACCAATGGCCAAACTCTCTTTCATGGGACATGTCAATCAGAGTGAATGGTTGTGACTACAAGCTTGGGAAGCTAAAAGTAGAAGCAGATAGGCAAGAGTGACTGGGTTTCTGCCTGACAATTCAACTGATTTGTAATTCATACAAGGAAGGAGTTTTGGCTTTCTCTTTCACAGGAGAGACTATATGAATGTTCTACACATTTCACAAAAGCTAGCAGAAGTGAGTCACAGTTTGGTCAGCATAAAGAAACTTTGAACATTTAGCATCTTGAAGTGTGCTAACTTCAAATCTACACTCTACATTCCCGTATGGAGACTTGACAGAACCTCATATATGTGTACAACTTTCATAGTCTTCATGCAGTTTAAATTGGTTAGCTTAAAATTATCTTAAGCCTGTGACTGATGTGCAAAATTATGACCAGGTTTTCTGTTTTGCCCTTAGACTCCTCAATCTGTATGTACACAGAGTTGTGGTCCAGGTTTCTGGAAAAGTCTAGAAAAAGACAGACCTATCTGTTGTTTTTCTTGTGTGTTTTGTCCAGAGAGACACATTTCCAATCAAACAGGTAATAAAATACTTTTTCTCAAACTTCTTGTTAATTTAGAAGGAGAAAGGTAAGAAGTGAACATGCTCTTGTAACGCAACATGGAGAACCCATGTCTCTTTCACTCATCCCCACATTCATTAGAAATCACTGCTGATTCCACAAAATGTTTAAACATTTGAGTGGCAGTCCTCATGTTATTGTGTCATCTGCATCCATATTTCCAAAATCTGCCTTTCTTTACATGGTAGTTTAACCTCAGCTCTAGCTGTGATCCTTTCTAGAGGCTGCCCAGGCAATGTGAGGTGTGCACATGACCATGCTACCTGTGTGTTCCTTGAATAAATGAATTCAATAATTCTTTCCTGAAAATAAGCCCTGGAAGGACAAGTATATGTGGGGCTGTTTCCAAAATATCCCACACATAGAATTAAAGTTTACAACGCTTTTAGCTGTCATTTGGAATATCAAAAATAGTCTGAAAAACAAGTTTTTGTAAAGGAAGGTACAGCAGCTTGTACATCTTTGCTATGTTGTGGTCAGCAGTTGAGGCAAGTACAATTTCTTGTGAAAACAGCTAGCTTTTTTATCAAAGAAGAACTCCTTATGGAATTTCTATGATGTCAATTATTCTGTTTTGAAGAAGATCAGTGTCACCAGGAACAGATGTTTCTCATGTCAAGAAAAGTCTAAGTCATTAAAACATTTTAAATGCCATATTCTGTAGGTCTTTGAGGTGTTTGAAGATTATCGATTTAAAATATATCTCTGTATGATCATGAAAACATAACTAACATGAATATAAGTTTAGTTATAGGTGACTATTAGCCTGTATTTCTTTTTTATTTTTTTATTTTTAAACAGTCTTTTTTACTTTACATACCAATTCCAGTTCCCACTCCCACCCCTCTTCCTACACTCCCCTCTCTCCACCCCATCCCCATCTACTCCTCAGAGAGGGTAGAGCCTCCCATGGGGAGTCAACAAAGTCTGGCACATCACTTTGAGGCAAGATCAAGGCCCTCCCCCCTGTATCTAGGCTGAGCATGGTATCCCTCCATAGAGAACGGAAATCTGTATTTCTTACTTCTCCTAAATAATAAGTACAGAACTTTCAATGACTAGAAATTAATATTACATTTTTAAATGATCTGTACCTTAAATAAAACTAGAACAGTATATTCTAATAAAAATAACCTTAAGTTGTATCAATATACAAAAATATCTAAAGCAAGAGTAAAAATATACATGTAGTATAACCTTAAATTTCTAAAAAGATAAAATAAACAAAAGTAGATGCACACATACAGTATCACAAAAATAACCTTAAAATTTGTTATCCCTATACAAGTGTATAATATTGAAGACTAGTAGTTACTTTTTCAGTTTAAAAGTAGGTTCAATAATCTACCATTTTATCCTATCATTTCTATATTTCACATTTTTTCTTCAGAATGAAATCTCTGAATCTATTTTGTTTAGCATTTTTCTCAACTATTATTGCTAAGAACTTGCAATCAACCACCCTAAATAATGACAAATATCTACAACCCAGCAGAAGACCAAGAACAACCTATCTTACCTCTAAGGAATGTAAGGATTGTGTGTTCTGGGTAGCTTCCTTCTGTCTTGGGGGTTGATGGCATCCCTAGTGGACCTTGATAAATGTGAAAAATAAAGTAAGTATTTATTTAGAAATAAAGCTTGTCTAAAGTTCAAAGCAGTGCATGAGGCTGAACCATCTTTGATAGCCATCCTGAAATTGTTCTGATCAGTTTGTAGTCCAAAACTGATCTTTGGGTAGAGTTTATCAGATTAGTGGTATAATCATAATCCAGGTGGAATTGTCATTGTGGGGCTTCATCATCCCTTTGGAGACATTAGAGGTTGCTGTTAGGAATGTTTATCCCACACTGTGGAAATATTAAGCGTATTAAATGTGATATGCTACAAATCTTGAGGAGGTTAATACTTATTCTATTAAGTACCTCTGAGATACCCAGGATTAAATCTTAAATATCTGCTTCAGAATCACATAAGAAATTGTATAGAAGAATCTACATGAAGTCTAAGGTTAGACTTAGTTAGTACTTAATAATACCATTAATTTCAAAATAGAAAATTTAAATTTTGAGATAGTATTTATACTTTAAGAAAAGTATTAAAGAGTAAAAATAAATCCAAGGGATATGAGATTAGTGACAATGTAACAGTCCCTATGTCTTGATTTTCTTCTCTTCCATACCAGGTGGTCCTTCTTATATGAGGCAGAGACTTTAAATTTTAACAAATATGCTTAGATATAGAGGAGAGAGCCATGCTCCAAATTCAAAGCCAGCTTTATTTTTTTTATTGAGTAAGGACTACATAAACACCACCTGTTTGACCCTTCTGTAGAGACTAGAAAAATGGACATTTTGAAAGGCTTATGAAAATTTACAGTTGGAAGTATGCAATACAGCCAGAACAATTTATTCCTCTTCTTGGTAATTTTTGAGGATTCTCCCTTTTTTTATTCCCATATGTATTATTTATTTTGCATACCAAACACAGTTCTTCCTTTCTTCTCTCACCTCCACTCTCCCCACCATGTTCACTCCCCCATCCACTCTTCCTCCATTCAGATGGGAATCAACAAAGCATGGCACATCAAACTGAGGCAGAACCAAGCTCCTCCCCTCTGCACCATGACTAAAGAAGGCATCCCACCATAGGTCTCCAAAGAATCAGCCCTGGACAGGTCCTGGTCCCACAAAAGAACAAACTACACAGCTATTACCCAGTGCAGAGGGCCCAACTCAGTCCCATGCCAATTCTCCTGCTGTCTATTCAGAGTCCATGAGTTCCCACATGTTCAGATCAGCTGTCTCTGTGAGTTTCTCTGCCATAATCTCGATGACCCCTTGCTCTTATAATCCTTCCATCCTCTCCTCAACTGGACTTCTAGAACTGGACCCAGTGTTTGGCTGTGGATCTCAGCATCTCCTTATATCAAGTACTGGATGAAGGCTTCATAATGACAATTAAGGTAGTCACCAATATGATTATAGGGCCAATTCAGATACCCTCACTACTCGTGCAAGGGGTTTTACCTGGAGTCATCCTTATAGATTTCTGGGAGCTTCCCTGGCACCAGGTTTCTCTCCAATCCTATAATGGCCCCCTCTACCAAGATATCTCTCCAACTACTCTCCACCTCCCTCCTACACACAATACCACACTCTTGGTCCCTCCTTGTTCCCATCCCCCCATAACCTCCTCCTCTACTCCACCCATTCCCAGTTTACAGGACATCTCATCCATTCCTCTTCTCAGGGATATCCACGTGTACCTATCAGAGTCCTCTTGCCACCTAGCCTCTCTGGGAGTAGCCTGAGGACTGTAGCCTGGTTATTTTTTGCTTTACATCTATTATCCCCTTATAAGTGAACACACACTGTGTTTGTCTTTCTGTCTTGATTACCTCACTCAGGATAATTTTTCTCTATTTACATTTATTTGCCTGAAAATTTCATAATATCATTGTTCTTTTCTGCTGAGTAATGCTCCATTGTGTAGATATACCACATTTTCTTTACCTAGTCTTAAGTTGAGGGGCATTTAGGTTGTTTCTAGGTGATGGCAATTGCAAATAATGCTGCTATGATGATAGTTGAGCTAATGTCCTTGTGGTATGAGTGTGCATCCTTTGACTACATGCACAAGAGTGGTATTGTTGGGTCTTGAGATAGATTGAATCCCAGTTCCCTGAGACAACACCATGCTGTTTTCCAAAATGGCTGTACAAGTTTTTACTTCCACTAAGAGTAGAGGTATGTTCCCCTTACACCTCATTTTTTTCAGCATAGGCTGTTATTAGCATTTTTGATTTTTGTGATTCTGCAAGGTATAAAATGGTATCTCTGAGTCATTTTAATTTGCGTTTCCCTGATATCTAAAGACGTTGAACACTTCTTTAAGTGTATCTCACCATTTGAGATTCTTCTATTGAGATTTCTCTGTTTAAATCTATACCCTGTTTTTAAGGGGATTAATTGGTATTTTGATGTCTAGTGTCTGGAGTTCTTTATTTATTTTGGATTGCAGTACTCTATCAGATATGGGCTAGAGAAAATCTTATCCCACTCTGCAGGATGCCATTTTGTCTTGTTGGCAGTGTCATTTCCTTTACAAATTTTTTCAGTTTCAGAAGATCCCATTTATTATTTGTCATTTTCAATATCTATGCTACCGGTGTTAGATTCAGGAAGTAATTTCCTGTGCCAATGCATTCAAGGCTACTTCCTACTTTCTCTTCAGGTTCAGTGCAACTGAATTTATGTTGAGTTCTTTGATCTGCTTGTACTTGAGTTTTGTGCATGGTGATAGATATGGGACTATTTGCATTCTGCTACATGCCACTATCCAGTTATGCTAGCAACAATTGTTGAAAATGTTGTCTTTTTTCCATTGTATATTTTTGGCTTCTTTGTCAAAGATCAGGTGTTAATAGGTGTAAGGATCTATGTCAGGGTCCTTGATTTTATTCCATGAATCCACTTATCTGATTTATGCCAATATCAAATGGTTTTTTTTTCCTACAGCTATATAGTAGAGCTTGAAGTCAGAGGTGGTGATGCTCCCAGAAGTTCCTTTATAATACAATATTGCTTTAGCTATCCTGGATTTTTTGTTTTTCTATATAATGTTGAATATTGTTCTTTAAGATCTGTAAAGAATTGTGCTGGGAGTTTGATGGGAATTGTGTTGAATCTGTCTATTGCTTTCAGAAAAATTACCATTTTTACTATTAATCCCACCAGTCAATTATAATGGGAGATCTTTCCATTTTCTGAAGTTTTCTTCAAAGACTTAATAGTTCTTGTCATACAGGTCTTTCATTTGTTTGGTTAGAGTTACCCTAAGATATTTTATATTATATGTGGCTATTGTAAAGAGTGATACTTCTCAGATTTCTTTCTCAACCAGTTTATCATTTGTATGTAGAAAGCCTGAAGGCGTAAGTCACAAACAATGCCACA